AATTCTGAACACCATTCGAAAGACCTTGATTACACTAGTTTACAGCATATTTGAACTTTGTACGCTGATGGTCATTTCCCATGTAAAATCGTGCTCTGAATCCAAAAATGTTGTCAGAAAATATCTCAGGGAGTTTTCTAGACACAGCTAAAAAATGAAATTTCACCTAATAAAATTTGTTTTTGCTAAAATACAAACATCTCCGGCTGTAATGAAGCAATATCAATTATTATAATGCCAAATTAAAAGTGAGAAAATTTGCTATCAATTAATTCCACACTATTTTTCAGTGAGATTAGTGGCATTGGTGGCACAACCACTACAAACATTTGTCTTTACTTTGCTTAAAAACTTTGCTGAAATCCAATTTTTCTTGAAAATATGCAAAACAATAAAAACAAATTAAACAAACTATTAATTAACAACAACACCACTAATTTCACTGACAAATAATGTTCAGCTGATCCAACTAAAATGTTCTTACCTTTAATTTGATATTCAAATAATGATATGGCTTTTTACAGCCGGAGATATTTGTGATGTGGTAAACAAACATTTTGAAGTGAAATTTCATTTTTTTTTTCCTTTATTATAGAGATTTTTAGCCATAGGCTAGTGAAATTTCAGTGTTTAGCTGTATCTGGAAAACTATCCTACTGAGATTTTTTCAGACTACATTTTTGGATTCAGCGCACAATTTTACATAAGACTCAAATATTGAAGTTAATTTTTCGCCTCAAGACTACGTCTGTGATTTCTTTATAGGGGTACACTTTGTGAAAATCAAAAATGGAACATGTAACAAAATTATGAAAGATTTTGAACGTTAATAATTCAGCTGCCCCTGGATCAATTTTAATAATTTTATCAGCAATCGATCAGAAATATTTCTACGCATCTATCAAGACGTTATCACTGTTGAAAATTGCACGAATTTGCAACTGTTGTTATGATAATTAAAATTATCACCGATTGCCTGCGAAAAGCGATTTCCCTAACACAGATTTCAAATTTCAATTCCATCTGGTCTCACCAAACGGTGTTTATTAAATCTATCAAGTCTGCCCTCAACCGCTGATTGGATTCAGTTGCAATCTTCGTGTGTGGTGGTGTCCTGTCGTCGGCATCAAAAGCAACAGCAGCAGTGCTTTCGGCGCGTGGCATTGAACATTGTTCTCCAGTACACATCAAAAGGCTGCCTGCAAGCTGCAAGCTGCAGCCCACATGAGCAGCCATAGAAGGAGGAAGCAGCCGCACCGCTATTGATCGGAATCAGTAGCTCTTCGTGAGTTACTGTGGGCCATCCATGTCAAGCGCGTCAAATCAAAAAGTATAAACAGAGAGAACCCCGCTCAAACTTCTATTCTTACACAAAACATAAGCTGCTGCTGCAGTTAACAAATCAGATTTATTATATAAGACCACGTAGTCCTACGGCACCATTGCGTGCAACCCCATAGGGCTGTCCCTTGAAGATTTTACTTTTAGTTGTAAACTAGTGTTATCTAAACAAGTTTGCCACAGACAGCAACTTCATAAACGGTCGATTTTCTAGTCAGTTTTCTATCAACTAGTACACGGTTCGAAAGGGAAATTTTCTCGGCATTACGGTCTTCAAGCGAGTAAAACGATTTGTCTTCTTTCAAATGTTTTTCCAAGAACCCAAATAAAAAAGGATCTTTTAAAACAAGCTGAAAATGTTTGATTGTGTAATACAAGCTTTTATAGTTTGGAGTTTATTGAATGAATTTGACGAAAATGTACAAGGAACTCCAGGGATTTTTCCAGGGGAATTCGAAGGAGTATTCCGTGGCAAGAATCGTTGGAAAAACTAGAAGTGAAATCTGAGGTCTTCTTTCAAGTTAGTTCTGTTGAACTAAAGATTTCAGTTGAAACGTAAGAAGAATTCCAAGGTAGATCTGAGAAGGAAATTTACAACATTATTCTTAGGAAGATTGCATGATAATTCTAAAAAGAATTTCATGAGAGTTCTGAGAATTCTAAGCAATTTTTAAGGAAGTACTCCAAGCTACTTCTGAGTAGAATGTCAAGAGAATACGGAAAATCCAAAAGGATTTCTGAAACGAATTCAATGAAAATTCTGAGCTAAATCTCAGAGGAAATCTAAAAAATGTTTCAGGGAAAGTTTTAGGTAAATTTCACTGGAATAATTGAAAGAGTTTCAATGCAATGAAACAATGGAGAATGCAAAAAAAAGTATTCCTACACAGCGAAAACTTTTTAAATTTACATGTCGCACATTGAAGTCAACAGTTTGATTGAAATTGATTTAATTTTCAGCGAACAACGAACTTAAGCTATAATTAATTGAATTACCGATCATTAAACCTGCTCCAAATTACAAAATATGTTTACCTGTATGGGGAATTCTGAGGAGCATATCAATGGATATGATATGTTTGATGTTATGTTATGTTATGATATGTTATGATGATTTTGGAGGGAATTGTGAATTGTGAATTTTAGGAGAATAATTACTAAATACTGAGGAAGGATTTATTTCAGGAGAATTATTTTTACAATCAAGAATTTTAAGAGAATTGCAGATTGAATCAAAGAGCCTTCTATAGAGAATTTGTAGAGTATAATACATGAAGCAAATTGTAAGGGAGTACCAGAGAGAGTTCTAAGACGTACTCTGAGAAAATGTTGAGATGATTCAAATGAATTTCTTGAGAAAATTCTAAACAAATCCTGTGAAGAGTTCGAAAAGTATCAAGACGATACAAATATATATATATTTTTTTCGATATCAAAGAAAAGAATTCAAAATAGGGTAAATGAGGGCTTCGGAAATACCTTATTCTACTATCGTCAGGGGGTTAAACAAGATCCTTGAGAGCTCAATGTTGGCATGTGGATACATTGTATTTCAGAACATCCAGACGATAATGGGTTAAGATATTGCCGAAGCCGACATTTCCCCTATAAGATTTAATAAAAATCAAAATTTTTAAACCTGGCTCTTTTTTTATTTGAGGTAATTAGAAGGAAAGGGGTGTAAGTGACTTTGATCGATTCTCTTCATCGACTTTCTCTTTCGTTAAAAATTCAGCTGCAAACACATTCCTTGGTTCACGTGCCATTCTGGATGCTCGATGAGAACCTCCATTATCAAACTATGTGGCAGAAATAGCGCAAAATCTGCTGTAAAGTTGTGGCTATCAAAAGAGAAAGTCGATGAAGAGAATCGATCAAAGTCACTTCCATCTCTTTCCTTCTAACTCCCTCATTTGATTTCTAATGCGTAGAAATGTTCTTTTGATTCTGATGGATTAAGAAAAATCTTCAATCTGGTCCATTAGAAGCTTTCAAGATTAAGGGTAAGCAAACGTTTTATAAATTTCAAACTTTGAAATGTGATTATAAATGCGAATTTAAAATAAATTATTAGTTTTTCTTAATGATTAAGCATTTTTTTTGTTATGTAAGGCTATGCAATAAAGCGATAGATCGATCATAGTTCATCAAATAATAGCTCCTGGAACTAGATTTTTCTTCGCTTGAAATATTACCAGTTCATTCAAGATTTATTTCCCTACGCCCTTGGTTACAAATGTTTTTTTTTATTAAGATAAAATGGGGGCGACCCCGGCGTAGTGGTTAACATCCATACCTCTCACGCCAAAGTCACGAGTTCAAATCTCACCCCCGGACAAGTCACGAATGACCCAAGAGTGTTAAAGTGACTATAATAAAAAAAAAATAAGATAAAATGTTGTCAGAACAAATTAATTACACATGAAAAATAAAATACCTGAAGAGATCTGCTGTTGTTAAATGATATCCCTGAAAATAGCAGCATTTTTGTTAAAAAACAAAGCATTTCAATTTCAGAAAAAAACTACATTTCATTCAAATTATGATAATTGAAACTATGTGAAAAAAGGATTCGATAAAAACCTGTAAATTTTTCGTTGAAGTGCTGAAAAAATCAGGGAATTCTATTCAGAAAAACAAGTAGACACCCTGAGTATGTATTATTACTACTTCACTTCCATCGTATCACTTAATCCAAAATTGCAGCCATTGTAAAATCCAGTCTTAAATTACTTATCCAAGTACTTTTCCTGCAAGGGGTGATACATATATTGTGTCACGTTCTTACGTAGAAAGGGAGAATGTTTGATTTTCTGAGAAGCGAAACATTAGGTATAGGAAAAACGTGACAAAAAGGGGAGAAGAGGGGTAAATGTTTCCTCAATTCAGCGTATCATAATTAATGCATGCCCCCCACGGTAAACTAATCTTTATCTCTGCCCACCTCCGAAATCCCAAAAGACGTTAATTTTCAATTAGAGAAACAAATTGCTCTGAGAATCATCATCAGAGGCTGCTCTGCTGGCCCCGTTCCTCGCTCGGTTTTTTTTTTCCCCCAATCATCATAATCACCTCCCATTCTGGCCGAACTCTCCCGTCAAGACACCTGGGCGCAAAGCGCCATTAAAACTAACAGTCTCCTCCATCGGGACGTCAGATGACGAAACTTTTCCCGAAAGAGGCCCCCAGCTCGAATGCCTACGCGTCAAGCTAAATTGTTTAGAACAAGCATAATTTCCAACTAATTTCGGTGTTATTGTTGCTTCAGCGCACGGGGAACAACAACATAGCGGTATACAGTCTCGACAGTCGCTAACTAAGGCCCATTTAGGATCCACCCAATTGTGAGCGGCCTGTCTGACGAAACTGGGTCCTATCAGCAAATTGTTAGAGTCGTTTTGTTCTGTCCTATCAAGTGCTGTTTTGAAGTTGCCCCCAAGAAGGTAGTGTTTTATTTCTCCTGAAAATCGCCCGAAGCCAACTACCCGTGTTGGGAAGACACTTTTAACGATCGCAAACGACGGGGACCACGAATCACTTCGCGATGGCGTGAACATGTGCCGGCTCCTTTCCCCTCTCTGCACGAGGGGCGAGAGGAGTGGAGAGGCACACCGGCAAGAATACGACAAATTAATCAAACCGTTTGTTACACATTTTAGGCACGCTTAATAAAAAAGGCGCACGATGATGGTCAAAAAGCGCAACAGCAGCAATAGAATTAGTGAATGAACAAAGAGGGCGAAAGACATAAAAGAGCATAATAATACAGAAAATCTAAACAACATTAAAAAGTGAGTCCGAAAATCGACGACGAATAATAAGAAGAAGAAGAAACAGGCGAGACGGGTGATGTTCTAGGAAAAACGCGCCTGCAACTTCCATATCGGATCAACACGATCTTCTTTGTGCCAGGGCACACGCGGATGAACAGTTTTGGAGAACAACAACAGCGGTCATAACAATAAAAGTGCTAACAAGTTTAAAAGTGTGCTCCTTGATGTGTGCTGATTTGTGAAAGGGGTGTGTTAATGTGTATGGGTGTGCAGCGGCAGCAGTAGGAAGTGGAAGATACCCGGACTTTATTCGCTTCAATTGATGGTTTGACACATTCGACGATAAGACCGGGGTAGCGATTGTTAGTGGCTTTTGTTCGATCCGGGGGACATGTGCGGTGATGTGTGATTCATGTGAGCAGTTTACGACACAGCAGAAGAAGACAAAGTAGTGCCGGAAGACACAAGCGGGAGGACGAGCTCGGCTGAGCTTCTGAGCGAGTAGTGTGGATGGTCCAAATGGTCCTCCTGTCGTGGGTTGTCTAGTGCAGACGCGATTCAGAAGCCGGTAGTGATGGAACCGAGAGTGATTTTTCTGAAACCGAAGAATAGCCGAAGTGGTAGTTTAAGCGATAAAGGTAATTGAGGTGTTTTGGGATGATATTTTACGATGCTGAATTGACGGTTGCGAATGACAAAATAGTTGGAAGACTAATGAGAAATAGGGAAGATGATCTAACGTCCCTAATGTCTATGCGTCCCGCGATTTGACACATGAAAAAAAAATCAATCAAAAATTTAAATATTACTGTTCTAGAGTGAAAATTTCTGAAGGTTCCATTTACTTTGGTGTGATATCTAAAAACTCGAACTCAATTTTTTCCTACACATCAATTCAGATAGCAAAACACTCTCGTCAAACTCAAACTCGTCGTTTTCTATTTTATGTATTTATTTTTAACTATTCAACTGATTATTATGTGGTCTAAATGAACAATGAAATGTATACACTAAACTTAATTCTTTTTAAACATATAAAATTGCAAACAGTTATCGTCTTAAAGAGAGTCGTCGTTGAAAGGTCCGCGTGGTCAAGTTAAGGTCAAATAATTCAATAACTTCATGAAAAGAGCTACACATATATCTAATGGGTCATGTTGTGCATATTCCACGCATCACGAATCAAGATAAAGGAAATCCTGCTGGCGAAGTCTTCTCTTTGGTGCGTAGACATTAATTTGTGCGAGGATATTCGGAGCATCCATTTTTTCTTTATCCACAAAACCTGCTTAAGCGATTGAGCACCGTCGTTCTAGTGACTCTAGTCCTAGAAGTTGACAACGTTCTTCATAAGGCGGTAAGTTGGAGGGATCATTCCATGGGTTCATTTGGCTGCACTGTTTCAATCCTAGCTACCCACTTGGAGTCATACGGACATCAGGGAACCACACTTGATTTCAAAATGGATCGTACCACCGAGCAATACAGGGATCGTAGGCAGAGTGGATCCCGGAACCCTGAAGAAATTTCTGAAGATGAATCCAAGCTGCCTATTTACTTTAGATATTACATCGCTGTAGTGTACTCGAAATGTAAGGGCACTATTTAGCGTTACGCCCAAGTCTCGCACTTGAGCTACTTGTTACAGAGGCTGTCCTGCGATAATATCGTCAAAGACAAACGGGTTGATCTTTCGATAGAAAAAAAATAATACTTTATTTATAAATGATAACTGTCATGAAATTTCAAGAACACCGCATTTCAAAGCAATCCACCATCCTCTGAAGCTCCAAACAATCTAGTAGACTCCTAGTTATCATGTAGATCTTGACATCCTCGGCGTAAAACATACGGCATCCAGTTGAAAGCATAATGTCGATCTCACCGGTGAATAGCACGAATAGCAATGGCCCCAAATTGCTGCCTTGAGATCGTTCAGATCCGATTTTGGCACACAGCATGCGATTAGATAGATAAGATCTGAACCAAGTGACAAAAGCAGGAGACATGCCAATTTTTTCCAGTTTAGCTAGTAATATTCCATGGTCAACACAGTCGAACGCAGCTGTGAGATCTGTATAAACAGCGTCGACTTGGGCACCAGAATCCATGCTTCCTAGCATCATTTACAATAATCTCGAACACCTTCGAACTAGCATCTCTTCGGACCGACAGGGTCTCCAGATGGATCAGTTGCAAATGGCTTTCGTAACGAGACTATCGAAAGGGATCCGTCAACGGCAGTTTACGTAGCGCATATCTCAGGAACCGTCGCTGAACAGACTCAACTTTTTCGAGACCGTTCTTGTAGTAAGGAGTCCAGGCAACCGATCAGTATTCTAATATGGAGCGAGACAAGGAGCAGTAGAACGATTTAAGGCAGTAAATATCCGTGAAGTCTTTGGCAATCCGAATTCTAGAAGCTTTGTCGACGGCATACGTGTTGTGTAGCTTGAAAGAGAGTTGTGTATCAAGAATCACACCTAGGTCTTTAATTTGGCTGACGCGCTCAATTTAAGTGCCTAACAAAACATACTTGAACATAATAGTCTCATTCTTGCGCGAAAAAGAGATAATCGATTAATCAGAATTCCCCAATCAGCATTCAGCTGACGTTGAAAGAAGCAACAGTCTTCAATTGAGTGAATTCGAAGAAAGAGATTAAGGTCACCTGCATAAGATAATCGTGGTCCCTCAATTACCAGATTCACGTCGTTGAAGTAAATCAGGAAAATCAGCGGTCCCAGGTGACTACCCTAGGGTATGCCGGACGTGGCAGCGAAAATACGGTACTGATGATCACCAATGGCAACCGCAAGATAGCGATCGGTGAGGTACGACTGAAACCAAAAGGCAGCCGTGGATACCAAGCCTGTCCAGTTTTGCGATTGATATCCGGTGATTCAATTTATCGAAGGCAGCAGATAAGTCAGTGTAAATGACATCCGTCTGAGCACGTTCTGACATATTTACTGTTAGAGATGTAGGAAGTAAGGCACAGCAAGCTAGTGGCAGTGGAGCGACCAGCCATGAAACCATGCTGGTCGATACTTATGTACGGCTTACAATGAGCAAGTAACGGTTCCATAACAACGAGTTCGAACAATTTAGCAAAAGTGCTAAGCGAAGTGATGCCACGGTAGTTGCCAACGTCCTGTTTGTGGCCCTTATTGTGAACCGGAAACATGTGCGCTAGTTTCCAACAGGATGAGAAAACGCTGACCTCCACGGACCGTTGAAAAACGTGCAGCAGTGGAGACAACAAACTGTTCAAGTGCGTTTTGAGAAACGCCGATGGAATTCCGTCAAGAACCGGAGTGTACAACGAATTGAGTTTCGAGGAGGCTCTGAAAAACATCTCGGGATTGATATCAATTTTTCTCATGGTTTGGCCAGAGAGTGGCACGTAACTGGCAGCCAGTCGGGCATAGTCGTGCGTAGATGAGGCCGCGTTACCATTATGTATCATAAACGACGGCAGACCAGCTTCACGACGTTGTTGGTTAACAAACTTCCAAAACTGCTTGGGACGAGACTTAAGCTTTCTCTGCAATCCACGTCGATACTGAAGAAAGCACCGTTTTGCAACTCGTTTGAATTCGTGATTGATCCTGACATAGTGACGTTGAAGGGATAATGTGCGGTGCTTGGTGAATTTCTTAAGAGCGGCTCTTCTTCTGGATTTCAGTCGACGAAATTCGCTCGTATACCACGGTGTCGTCGTCGTCGACGGTCGTTTGATGATGGATCTTTTTTGGAACGTGTCTGTCAATGACATATGCCAAAACATTAAAAATAGTTTGAGCAGCGGACTCAATTTGTCCAATAAGTCGTCCTAATCTAAACTGGAGAGTAACTCGGCGATACTACCATGGTCGGCGTTGTGAAAATCGTAGGAAAAGGGGACAGGCGAAATATTAAAATCATGCATCAGCTTAGTACTTAACGTCACCAGTAGCGGCGGGTGGTGCCGATCCAGTCTCACCAGAGGAGTGGGTGCCTCGCATAAGAAAGGAGCTATGTCCTGGGCACAGCCACTAAAACACCTCCACCATTAATTAGCAGCATTCCTATCGCAACGGAAAACTTCGTAATCGTCACCGAGCACCAGACGAGAGAGCGTGCGTGCATCCAACCATGTCTCCGTAAGAACAATGATGTAGCAAAGATCCTAGGTAACTACGCGAAAATCGTCGACAGCACAGTTGATACCACCGACGTTCTGGTAGTAGACGGATATCTCATGCTGGCAGTTGGCAGGACGGATGCATAGACATAATGTGGCTAATGCGGAGGCCGCAAAACCGGAAACAAAGCTAGAAGTTGAAGCAGCATCAGGCAAAGGAAAGGCTGAATCGTCAATATACTTGCCAGTAATAGATAGTTGGAAGACCCCCGACCTATATCTACACTCAGGGCCGAGACGACTATGCTGAGCGCTAGCTGGAGTAAGCGCGACTGAGGCAGAGCAATCCAGAAGCAGTAGAGGTAGCCTCTCTGATGATGTCGTGTTGCCAAAACACGAAGGCATTGTAACATGGAATTACCAAATTTAGTTGTAATTCTTCCAGAGATTCATAGACGCTTTTCTGAAACATGCGGAGGAATTCTCTTCAGCAGTCCATTAGTATTCTTAAAAGTCTCTTGGAATTCTATTTGAAATTACCTTGTTCCTATTCATTATAGTTTCTTTGAAAATGGAGTTCTTATGCTGAGAATCGTCCTCAAAAGCTTTGAAACATAACTCTTTTGGATTCGACTTATAACTACTATTACTGCAGGTTTAACACGGTTATCGGATAGAGAAGACCATCTGTTGGTAATGATTTGTGTGATTGAGTTGTTGTTCGCTAGAAATCGACGATAAATGTGACAGATATCAGTTATCGACAATCGAGTCCGACGTGTGTTCCCAAATAATCTCTGAGAAGCTGTTGTTGGCCTTTCTCACAAAGAGGGGGGTTGTTGGGAAATTACCGCTGTCTATTTTATTTTTATTGATATGGTTGATTTTCCACGTAGGGTGAGGCGGTTTAAAACATTTCCACGTGAAATGTGGACAGCCTTTAAGCGAAGACAACAAATCAAGAAGACTGGCAATTCTTCCATTTTCTCATACGAACACTATGAGACAGGTACAATCGGGTCATCTGCCGCTCAAAGGTAAATGCTTCGAACGAATTTGATAGCAAAGATTACATCCTCAGAAGAAAGGTTTGTGTATTTGCTCATTTTTGGTAAAGTTGCCAGTCTTCTTGATATGATGTCTTCGCTTTAAGTAAACTCTCTAAGGAATACTGTCAAAAAATGAATCATCTCTGTAGAATTTCTTTGGAATCATCTCAATTCTCAATTCTCTTGCAGTTTTTGTCGGAATTCCCTTGGATATCTTGTCTGGATTTTCTTGGAATTACCGAAAGAATTACCCTTGAATTCTCCTCATTTCTCACTAGCAAAGTCCCATAAAGTTTCTTTGGATTTTTTTTTTTCCGATTTGCGCATTCCAATCCCCATAAGCTTTTTCCTCAAAGTTACCGTGTAATTCTACTCATAGATCTTATCATCCATATGTCTTGACAATTGATCCAATTGATTGATGATTTTTTTTTCAAAATTTCACTGACTCAAGGTAAGAGTG